TTCCCATGTTTTCTCGGCTTCTGAGTACCTTTCTTAGGAATTCAAGAGAAATCACAACACTAAATGAAAATATCACTCAAGCCCCTATTTTTTGTAGTTCAAAAAACCAATTTAGGTTATGTTCATCATGATCTGATATTATAATACAAAAACTGTAGATTGTTTGTTGGTATCGATTCAATATTTATAACATACAGAGGAAATCTTTCCAACGGTTACATGTGAAAATCATTTTGAAACAGGAACTAAATAATGAATTGAATTTTTAGTAATTGTATTGATCTATGAATACTACCTTTATAGTTCATAGACTGCTTATTTAGCGTTTATTCCTGATGAAAGTACTGAGGAACTCAAGTTATCATGATACAGTTGAATAGATTTTAGTAGTATTCAAGCTCCTTGTGAACGTTATAAGAATAATTCAATCAATAGTAAAAATAATTTGATATACCCTTTATTAAAAAAGGACCACTTTATAGTTACTGTATTCGTAAATTTAGACATATATAATATTACTACCTGTTAATACGAAAAGGTTGTAGGTAACTGAAAGACAAGCCTTAACCTATGTTTTATGTTATTGGGTATATATTACCAAAAACTATCTGCATCTTGATAGAACTGAATTAAATTTGAACTGAGATCCGCGTCAATCATTGTCACTGTCAGGTACGTGGTTTATCAAATTTATTCACAGCTAAAAAATATACAAATATGAAAGTGATTACTTTCAAAGGTCAGTCAGTTTACATACATTTTCTTTATTGATCAAAAAACAACAGATCCTTCATGATCTATGTTACTTCAGATATTTCAGATTGATTCGATTTATTTAGAATGAACTACTGTATTCTTCAAAAATCAATCGATTCAATAGATATATTACATTCATAAATGATTCTTAAGAGTTTTCCACTCTATAGTATTTTACATGAAAAGTGTCAATTAAACTTTCTTGATATTTCGACGAAATTCTTGACATTTCAGCGTTAACAATTAATGCTATGGTGCCTCGACTTTAGCTTGACATTCTGTATTTAGTTATTTGATTTCAATGTGTTGTAACATTGAGCATGTGTGCACAGTATCAAAATTTCTCTCAAAGGAAAAGAATTATTCGAAACGCTTGGGGGGGGGTTATGAACACATCACTTTTGCAAGTCGATAATCTTCAGAATGTAGCATTTGAAATCTAGGGAAAGACGGATTTTATTCAAAGAACTTGAGTTCAGGTCAACAATATTCATTATCACAGAAGTTATCACAGGACTGTTTGCACAATGAAAACATTCAGTGGGATCGAAATACTTAAACTTACTGACCAACCGACAGGAAATGATATCATATGATTCAAATCTTACCATTGATTGTATTTTATCAAAAAACTTTGTTGATGAATATGTATTAGCAGTACAGGTAGGTTCATGCCTTCCTGTAAACCGTATCTAAATACTGAATATCACATTAAATCCACTGTGACACTAATTCACCTAGTCAAGTGACATATTTCATTTTAGTTGATAGAATTTTGTCGGCAATGAGAAATGGACATTAATCTAAACCCAGTGGTCAATCAATGAAGAATGCAAATTTCAGTTTCCTATGTGATCATCATAAACTGATTAAGTTGATAATATGTTTGTCATCATTAACTTAAGTGTATTAGAACATCATATTAGCCATCACAGTTTGAACAACCTCAATATAATGTTCATCGAACATCTAAAGAGTGTAGTATTCCTTTTGATATCAAAAAACTGCACTAGTACAATAGTAGTTCTTACAATTTTAAAGTACATATGGGGACAACTTTGATTTACATTTGATTATTCGTTACTCTGATAATATCTTCATCAATCACTCAGATCAATTAGGAATAATCTATGGAGAAAGCACCAAATAATGACTGCGCTTTACCAACAATTGTTGAGTATCAGTCATGGTAGGAATAAATAACTTATAAACTAGAAATGTATATATTTTTTAAATTGATTGTACTTAGATACTGGACAGTGATCTCTATTTGCCAACCAATTACGAGTAAAATGTTTTTAGTCAGTCGGTTTTTGTAATTTCCCGTTATCCTTACTCATGATTGAATGATAATCAATCCTTGTTGATGTATGTCTATTCCTATAGAATCCATGGACTTAGATCCAAGTACATCTAGCTAACAAGTAGTTCATAGACTGAAGAACCATTTGAAAACAAATAAATATTTCATCATAGTTTAGATTTCTCAACAATTGCTCAGTAATTACTTCAAACAGGTTTCATAGCAAGCATAATAACTTAAAACAACTTAATCGCTATTCATTGACCCGTTATTCCAACTCAATTCAATTCACGATGCAATACGATAACTATTCAATGTAAAAATTGAGTTGATGTTTTATCTGTGACAATTTTAATGTCAAAACTGTATACAAATTGAAAGTCGCCTACAAGTATTTACTTGTTGAATAATGAATCCATTTGTAGGTTAACTTGATATTTTAATCATTTTGGCTTGTGTAAATATTTTTCAGTTTAGTAGACATCGAAATAATAGATTATTTAGATTTTATCTCTAAAATGTTATTCTAATAAGCAAAGATGGATAGTGGTTAGCAATATAATCCAGGGCGTGCGTTTCGTCTTATTTGAGACTCGTCAGATGTTTGTACCTGCATCTCAGAGTTCATATTCACTCCGAGACTCAAACCCAGTGCTGCGATGGCGTTTGAAGCAAACAGTTTGAGTTCAGGAGTGAACAACAACTACGGTACAGGTACATCCAGTTCACGAGTTCCAAATAAGATGAAACGCGTGTCCTATATTCCACTGCTAACAACTACCCATCTTCGTTTATAATACTTGTGACTTAAGGTAATATAAAGGCAATCCGTACAGTATGCAGATATGCCAATAAGAGGTGATCAATTGCAGTGCTAAATATCAATGTGAAGATTCAAGTAAACAATACCGTGTGAATTTATTATTCTAATAATTCAATTCATTATTCGATCTAAGCTAGACCATCATTAAAAACCTCGAAGCAATGGACAACCATTTCATTCTAATATGGAACTTCTCAACAGTTTATATCCACGATTTCTCACATAGGACTCATACTCACGACTTTTAATCTCACGTAAGAACGCTTAACCTCTAGATCATTGAAGCGGCATCCAAAATATTAATTTACTGTAGAGAACATTAAAATTTCTTAGAAATTCCCATTATTAAAATTGTATTTTATATTAACTGGTCGATTTTAAAAATTCACACTGAATTTTTAATTCAACAATTACAATCGAATTATTTTTAATATACAATTTCATATTACCAAGATAATCATTTATTACTTTCCAATAATGATAACACAAAAAAAGACAAACAAATAAACAAACACATAACTACTCATACATAAACAGATACCGTTAATAATTTTTGTATCTAAGCAAATGATTATATTTTATTGAAAGTTACAGTTAGATGACTGAAAGTTTGTTAGTTTTTTGTATAGAATAGTAGTAGTAGTAGTAATAGTAGTAGTAGTAGTAGTAATAGTAGTAGTATTTGTAGTAGTAGTAACAGTAGTAGCAATGGTAATAAGCATAAAGTTTTCTCACAAATACATAAACATTTTTCATCTGGAAAACTAGTTTTTTATTCATAATTATTCACATTCATTAGTTACTACCCTATAAGTATAAATGAAACGTTTACAAAATTATTTCTATTCTAAATAAAATGAGTCAATAAGAATGATTATTTTACATGATCACTCTTATGTATAACCATATACTATTTTAGTCTAATTTAATACATTTATGTATTGTCATTGTTTTTTAATGTTTCCCTTTGCAATATCACTATGGATCTATTTTTGGATATGAATTGTTTACTCTAAAGAATTATTGATTTCAGAAAAAAAAAACAGAACGTTCTAGTGCCAACCAAAGAATTGTAGAATGACAGATTCGATATCTTTGTCAATGAAAGTTCTATAGAATAATCTCCAGTTCAATATGATAGCTTATAACAAATCACATATCTATCTATCTATCTATCATTATGTGTTAATTCATCTATAACATTGAAAAAGTAATTCATTGTTGATGTATCCAAAAGAACTTTATATTAACCGATAAATATACATTAAAAAATGAACAGTTTTCATAAAGTTGATAGATCAGTTAAATGTATTCTTCTGTAAATGTTTCTTTGGTTTTTTGATAGATATTTAGGGATTAAAACTTTACAATGATTGTTTGATTATGTAGTAAAAAATAATATGAATGTTTTAATAGTGAACCTATTTTTTTCTGGTGGGGGGTAAAGTTATTTACAATTTCATTCAAGATATGTCTTTTTCACTTGTAAATTGATTTTAAATGTATTAGATTGATATATTAATTGTTTAGACTACCATCGCAAATCATCTCTTTTAATCTACACACAAGCTTTACTGAGTTAGTTCAAGTAAGTGAAGTGAGTTAATACAAGCTACACAAGTATATGAATCTCCCAAATAAATACACTGATTGAGCCATTGAAGTATCCAATAAAACCCGAGAAAAATCTCAGAAATTTTACTTATTCTTTAGATCTGTTCATAGAGCTGGAGTGTTTAAGAAAATATATCTTTTAAAGTGAATCCTGATGATTATGTGGATGATATGAGGTCAGGGCAGTCATCGAATTCATATGTTTATGAGAACAACAAACATGTAAAATTTCCTAGACCTTCCTATTCGAAATTTACTGTATTATTGTTATCCATGGTTTTAATTATATAAAAAAAGTCATTCGTGCACAAGACTAAAAAAAAAAACATGAAACGATAACGCATATGGAGATTATGAATACCGAAACATTTTAGGGGTGTTTTGGTTATCAAGAAAGGGAAATGGGACAATAACTTTACTGAAAATTTCGAGTATTTTAATAGTGATTAGAGCTATGTACCTTAGAATCACTTATATTAATAATGTGTAAATTTTTGTACTTACCACCAACGTCCTTTAATTTGAGATACTTTATCTTCTGTATTATTTTTATTCTGTTTAAATTTTATTGAATTGACTACTGAATTTTGTTGATTCTGCCATTTCAATTTTGTTTTATGCTTTGATTGTTGTTTCTGATGATCAACATAATTTGATAAACTTTTATTATATGTTCTTTGTATAACTGATGAAGGGTATACTGTAAGCGGTTGAAAAGATGATGAAGAGGTAGGTAATTTCATAAATTTTGTTTTTGTAATATCAAATAATTTTTTATCAGAATACTGATTCAATAGACGTGATTGTTGAGCTATTTGTTGTCTGTATGGATTTAATTCATGCTCTTTATTCCATAAATAGGAAGTTTGTAAATTATTATTGATTTCATCAATAATAATCTTATTATTATTATTATTGTTAGTAGTAGTAATAGTAGTTGAGTTGTTGCTAACAGTTTTGCTATTCAATGGAAGATTATTTGCTGATGAATAAGAATTAGAAGCAGATAATACTGATGCATCATCAAAATAAAATTTATCGTGAAAATCAGAAAATTTACGTTGTATTTTGGTTTGTATAAAAGATGGAAACACTGAAGAAGAAGATGATGACGATGATGAAGAAGTTAATCCTGCCACAGAAGCTTCTGGAACTGCTACCACTCCTTCCTTTGACGATGACGACGATGTTGATGATAGTATATTTGGTAAATAATGTTTTTCTGAAAGATATCTAACAGGAAACTTGAATCTATTCAAATGATCCGGTAATGTTTTTATATATTGACCATAAATATTATATGATAAAATGATTAAAAATAAATTATAAAGTTTAATCATTTGCATTATATCTTTAAATTTATTTCTCATTCCATATTATCAATGTTTATATTCTTATCCATTTATTTCATGTTTCACAAATGTAGCATATAAAAATCAAATGACAAATTAATGATTAAGTTAAACAATCATAAAGAAATAAATAAATAGAAAAACTATACTTAATTGAAATGATCATATAAAGTGATTATCAGTAGTAATACTAGTAGTAGTAGTAGTAGTAGTTTTATTAAATTATACTGAGTAATTATGTAATATCAAAATGATAAAATTAATAATAATGTTTCAATATTTATAATGTAGATAATGTATATAAAAGTAGTTACTGTTTGATTTCCCTTCGTTTCTTTCTTTTTTTTTTTCTTCTCAAAGAAAGAGAATAGAAGAGTAAATCAACAACAAAAACAACAGCAACAACAACAAGAACAACGAAAAAAATTGGGCTTAGAACAAATAAACACTGTAATACAAATAATTCATTTAAATATATGTATGTATTTAAATGAATAATTTAATTTGTATTTATGTCATGACCATGTGTTCGTAACCATCTATCTATAGATATAATTAATAAGAATATTGTATTGTGTATTATGATATTAACAAACATTTATAGTGATTATATTCAAAATGGTATTAAATCTCAATGGAACATATATATATATATAGTATATATATAGTATATATATATAGTATATTAGATTGAGTAACGAAAAAAAGGTTCTTCACAGTTAATTTTGTTTCACTATACCTTTTACATGAATAGGATTTCATGGTGTAGTGTTTTTTTACTTGCTTTATGCATTATGTTTATATGTATGAATGTATGCATGTAATTAGTATGTATGTATGTATTTAACTGTATGTAATGGTGAAGTGTGTAAAATTGAACATCGATAAATATAACATTTATATTCACTGGAAAGAAATATAAATTTGTACCTAATTTGATTTGGTGTAGTTTACGTTCTTCTTAATTTTTTTTGTCTTGTATGTGGAAGTGTGCTATTTATGTCTGTCTATAATACTGACCCAGAAAAATTTTGTGTAAAATATTAATAATCATAATAATCACATTGGCGAGAGAGAGAGAGAGTGAGAGGGTGAGGGGATACAAGAATTTTTAAAAATGCTAAGCATACACTGGGATACGGTTACCAATCCAGTAACTAGCTTGTCAATCATCAAAATGAAATAAAATCAACTAATTTTGGCCTATTGAACTATTGAACGAAAGAATGTACATATTTATCCCTATACAATGTATGCAATTGAATAAAATAATAAATAGCAATTTATAACCTATATGTAAATGTGATTTCATCTTTTCCAGTAATGGATATTCATTAATAAATGCATAAGGCATGCAAGTATATGCTTATAAATGAATGACTGTTTCATTTCACCTGTCACCATTAAAATGTAAAATAAATAAATAATCACAACTGTCTAGTATAATGTGTAAGCATAAATTCACTTTGTATGTGTGCAGTCTAACCAATGTTACAATAACTAGATTCATGATTATTAAAATATTATGATTATGTAATCATTTAATAATTACAACTATCAATAAGTGATTGATGAATATCTAATTTTTGATTTATTGATCATCTTTATATTAAAAAAAACACTTATCCATTTTAATCTTTTTAACCTTTTCTTCTTCTTCCTCATCATCATCTTTATCGTCAGATAATTTAATTTACTGATTACAGTCTTACTTGTCTAGGATTAATTATTTCTCCATGTAGTTTTTTCTATTAGTGATCGTCTGTAGAAAGAAAAATAAAAAAAGTAAAAAAATCTGCTATCACCACTGTGATTAACATATGTCAATCAACATCACCAAAGTACTGTTCATAATAAATACAGTGAAAAATTGACAGTTTTAAGGTGAGACTATAATTTATGGATGAACCAATCAGATATAAGATAACGAGTCACGAATTTTGGCGCGAAATTCATCCATACATTTGGCTAAATAGAGTTTTGGTATTATAGCTGATATCAGTACGTGATGAAAACCCTAAATCTAAATCCTAACCTAACCATCAACTGTAAATGAGAATTCTAACTGCTTTAAAACGCTTATTTAGTCCTAATCAGTAGGTGTCCACTCTCAAGGTCATTTCAGCGTCGCTCAAAGGGCGTTCATAAATTATAGTCTCACCGTTTTAACTAAGGAATAAGTTCAGAATTTGTACAATACTTTAATATAAGCTAATATTCATTCAATAAAAATTAAAATAATTTGATGTAATACAAGAGAGAATAATTAAAACAATGTCTTGATAAATAGTCTAGTTAGATTTACAATTCAACAACATTAAGAAAGTTATTATAAGAGGGGAAGAATAAATTAATATATTACTTGCATACAGTTTTTACAATTACAATCATCACTATCCATGTAGTGAACCTCAGTTAGTTCCCCTACATAACATTGTATAATTCAGATCATTGGTCAATTTGAAAAATCAATCTCTGATATTTTAACTGGTATTTGATCAGCCTTCATTGGTACACGTATATACCATCCAGCTGACGAATCCAAAAGGGACGAAACACGCATCCCAGTTTCGACCGCTGCCAAATTATAACCATTCTGTATCTTCACACGTTAATGTGTATCAATTTTTCTACATACTATAGACTTTTACACGTACAAATCTAGGAAGAAACTGTTTAACTAGAAAGAAAAATTGGTAAAAATTTAACAGTTAATTATATATATATTATAAATAAAGATGGATGGTGGCTAACAGTGGAATCCAGGACACGCGTTTCGTCCTATTTCGGACTGGCCAGGTGGATACACCTGCATCCCGGAGATGGTGCTCACTTTAGGACTCAAACTCAGTACTTTTCGCTTCGAATGCCATCGAGATATCCACTTAGCTGCTGAGTCCTGATAGCCACCAGCTTGTGTAATGGGGCGAAGTTTAAATTTATTTTTGCATTGTTTATTTGAATCTGTTTATTAACTTAGTAGCTAGTGGATAACGTGATAGTGTTCGAAGTGGACGTTAGTGGGTTCGAGTTAAGGAGTGAACACCAATTACGATACAGGTACATTCAGTTCATGAGTCCCAAATAGGACGAAAAGTGTGTCCTGGATTCCACTGCTAGCCACTATCCATCTTCGTTCATAATACTTGTGACTTAAAGCAATATCAAGGCGATCCGTACAGCAGGCACATATACCAATATGAGATGATCAATTGCAGTGCTAAATATCAATGTGAAGATTCAAGTAAACAATACCAAGTGAATTTAAACTTCACCCCATTGCACAAGCAAGGACTGAGTAGTTAAATGGAGAACGCGATGGAGTTTGAAGCGCACGGCACTGGGTTCGAGCTCCACCGTGAACATCAGATGTGAGATGCAGGTACATCTAGTTCACGAGTCCCAAATAAGATGAAACGCGTGTCCTGTATTCCACTGATAGCCATTATCCATCTTTGCTTAAAGACCTTATGACTTAAGGTTATATCTAGGCAATCCGAACAGGATACACATATGCCAACAAAAGGCTGATCAATTACAGTCATAAACATCAATATGAACAATCAAGTAAACAACATAAAATGAACCAAACTCTGTCTCTCCCCATATATATGTATTTGTATACACTTACAACAAGCATAACTCAGGCTGCACTAAATGTATCTAACTTTATTACCATAGCAGAACTTAAACATTAGATGAAATAAACAAACAAACAAACAAACACTTGAAAACGAATTTTTTACACAATTAAAATTTACTGATTATATTGTGATATAATAAATAAAAATAAAAGTTTATGTGAATTATTAAGTGGATTTTTCTTTACTTTCTTTCTTTCTTTTATATCAACATTCAATATAGTGAAGAGTGAATGAATGAATGAATGAATGAAATGGTGAACAATAAAACTATACATTTTCAATAAGAATTACATCATCCGATTCAAGTGGATTCTTTCTTTTTTGGCATTTTATTTTTATGAATGTTAAATGGGAAATCATGATTGTAGACATTGGTTTTTTTTTTCTAAAATAATTATTTGAAAAGTTACTTGAGAGGAAAAAGTTTTCTTTTTGTTTTTATTTTAATTGAGAATTTCTATGTAAATTAGTTGAAAAATATAAAGTTTATAGTAGATGTAATAATATGATAATATTGTATAGTTTGTAATTTGCTTAAAGATTTTGTTTAGTTTTGTCGATTTAATCTAGGCTATCATTGAAAACCTAAAAGTAATAGACAGTCGTTTTGTCCTAGTATGGGACTCCTCAAAAGTGTATTAGCTAAGATCCCGCAAGCGGGACTTGAACTTAGGACTTTCAGTTTCGCTTGCGAACATTTGACCTCTAAACTACTAAATTGGCGTTCAACGGTGTTAATGTCTAACTTCAATAGATCCATGATCTTCACGAATTCCCATTCTCATGATTGTATTATCGTCCAAAAACTTTCAATTCATTAAAACGTTTAAGATAACCATTTTGAATAGTTTAATATAGGTCTATATTTAATCCTTTGATAACATACGAATCACGTAGAAAAAATGACATGTTTGAATTTCAATTATTAAGTGTCCATTGATCTTTAAACTGATGTACAGAAAGATATAAACATATGGGTTAGGACCTAAAATTAATTTAGAAATAACGGATACATGGACTCATTCAAAATTGCTAATGAAAATAGATCTTAATCGGAATTATTTCATGAAGAATTTCGATATGCCCATTAAAGATCAATTTCCACTGATTTTAAATGTAGTGAATTTTGTTCATCAAATGATTACCCTTAACGACTTCTATCAAAAAATAACGCGTAAAACTAGTAAATAAATTATAAATTAATCAATAGAATCTAATCAAGTACTGTGAATGAGAGAAGGATAATAATACCTAATAGTTAGTGATCAGTAAATGACCAAACAAGTCAGTGACAATTCTCATTTTGTTGACAAAAAGATAATAATTACATGAAGACTGAGACAGTATTTCACGAATGATATTGATGACATATCCAGTTATGTTGAGAACTGACTGAAATCCGAAATACGGACAAGCGGAATTCAACTCAGTGGTCTAAAAATCTTTAACATGATGAAAGATAGGATGATCAACAGAGGTCGTATATGCATTGTTGTAGCAAAATTATTTTAATTGTATTGTGCCTGAAATTAGTTTATTACGAAAGTATTTTACAAACAGAACAACTAGTTATCAGTAGATTTGCAATGAATTAAAAGCTGGACAATTTTTAAAATGTCATTCAGAAACATTCGGTTTAAAAGCTGACGTAATTGACTCAGAATATGATTTTTGAGGATCTATAACAGACTAAAACAGTTATACAGTTTAATCCACAACTTTTAAAAATGATGTGCAACGCTTCAACACCTTCAGCTGAATCCGAGAAGCCAGATCTAAATTCAAGCGAGAATGACCACACAGTGAGATCAGAAATCCGCCAAAAAATAAGTTCATTTGAGTGACCAAGAAATAGCTTAATTTTCTGTGCCTCATAAAACACTGGTGAGAAATTATCGACAAATAAAGCGGTAAATAACATTCACCCTATATATGTGCCTACAAAATTTCAGCAGAAGAATGAGAAGTAAAACATACAATATATTATGGAACAACACTCATAATTCAGAACTATTTATTAGGTGTGAAGTTTATTCAAATGTAGTGCTTTTCTGTAATGCTAAAACTATTATTGTACATAAAGAGCATGTAGTACCATGTGTTAGCTTTTAGAACATATTCGTGATGGTCTAACAACTTACACCATTGGTAAGTATCTCATTCATTAATTCATGATTCAAACTAATCTTGATTTACTTATCCATTACTGCAATAGTGGTAACCACATACTTAACGATGCTCATTTCGAAATTAAGGAATCAAACTTCTGTATCCGAAGATTAGTTTATGAGTAACTTCCTGGAGCTATTTATAGACCATATAACTGATCGATTGGTTATGATCACACGATTAACTATTCTTGATTTATTCCCAATCTATTACTTACAGCCTCTCAAATTCACAGCCACTTTTGACCTGATGTTGTATAATTGTTACTTTCCATTTTATGGTATGATGCGGCCTGGTCTGCTTGTGAAAATAAACTACGTATGTGTGAAATATATAATTCACACAGTGGGGACTAAGACTGTGTTCTGCACTCAACGGGTAAGGCTAGAAGGGTAGTTACTAATTTGTTGACCAATAAAGACTCTGAGCTGGCACAAAGCTGCTAGTACTGGTTAACGTACCATTCGTTTAGCTGAAGGGCGAATTCGTATAAGTCGCATTCTGATTGACCATTTTGTCACGTGAAAATTGACAGAAACAAAAGACATAACAGAACTTCCTCAAGCTACCAGGTCAACAACTAATTGGGTCAAACAGATATTTTATGGCGAACCTCAATCTTCAGCTGTATCTTTTATTCACCTATAAGTGCTATCGAAAGCTATATTTTATACTTACTAGTAAGATCAAACCAAATTGTAGTAACCAAATCATACTACTATTAAGTAGTTTGAAAACGTTCACAGAATTGTGGTTCTATAATAGCTAAGTTGGATCACTTCTTAAGTCAAAATCTATTATGAGCAGCATAAAGCACTGAAAATAACTCCTAAAGACAATTTCATTAAAGGAATCATTTGCAGCTCTGAGAAAAGTGATGTGCCAGGTTGTCGTGGAGCTAACAACCGAAACTTGACGACCTCAAAAGTACACATACATCACTTACAAAAGGTCAGTATCACTTCCCTTAACATTCTACAAGTGTACTAATACTAATGAAAATTTTTCCTTACTATATCACAATGTCTAGTTCCTTCTTTTTCTAACAAAATATAAGTTATCTCTTCAACAGATATATTTTCATTCTATGAAGATACAAATTTAAATGAGAAGGAATAAATAAATAAGTTTTTATTATATCACGATATGTCTGTCCTTCATTGGCTCATTATGATTTTGTGTATGTTGAAAGGAATGAATGAGAAGTAAATAAACGTTTATTGTAAGATGCATAGTTGAAGAAAAAAACCATACACAACCACACTAATATATATATATATATATATTCGTGTACGCATTCACACGCAGGAATAATAATAATAATAATAATAATAATAATAATAATAATAACAATAATAATAATAATAATAATAATAATAATAATAATAATAATAATGGTATTACTAATGATGGTTACACAACAACTCTAAGAGAATAAGAGTAACGAAGTAAATTTCGCGTATAATATGAACTGTGAAATAATGACAATAAATTTATCAGGAGAAAAAAGGAATTGAATTGAATTGATTATATAACAACCATAGTTTGAGGAAAATATAAATATTCACGGAATGATCATATAGATTAAGATAAATAAGCAGATTCATCAACAGAATATACATATATATCGTGGAATTGAGACTTTTTGTTTTGACATAACACAACCATTTTGATCATAAATATCTGTAAACATATAGAGATAGTAACAAACTGTCATCAATATTATTCATTCGTTCTTATACATCGACAATGCCAACTTCTTCTAATTTAGCAAGAAATGCAGCAACACGATGATCTGGATCATTCTAGGAAAAAAAGAAAGAAAACAACCAAACAATTCTAAGTGTTGTATCTATTGATGAAAAAGTACACAAATTCCTTCGTATTCTAGGCGCTATGGAGTAATTTCTTTACTTAATGGTTAAATCTCATCGTTAAGAATCGTTTTTACTATCTAATGGATAATATTAAATTGTTTTTTGATCGAGACTACAGTTTATAGACGAACCAATGAAATTAAAGACAACACGTTTTGAATTTTGGCACGAAAATTCATTCCTCCATATAGTTATATAGCATTTAAGTACTATAGCTGATGTCAGTTCGTGATGAAAACCTTAACTCCAATTCTTAACCTTAGCCACTAACTCTAGATTCTAATCTTAAGTCATCTTTTAACCTTGACAGCGTGGATATTTTCAAGCTCACTTCATCATCGTTCAAAAGTCGTCCATAAATTATAAACTCATCGCATTCTACTCTCAATAAAATGGAGTTAGATTACAGATTTATCAATGAATGATTCCGACAACACAACTTGATATTTTAGTGACATAATACATCTTATGAAATCAAGTTACTACTTCAAGCCTTTTCTTAAAAACAAAGTTTCATTGAAATATTTTTTACACAACCTGAGTATTTCTTCTATCTATCAACAATAATAAAACTTATAAAAAACCGAGTGAGCACAGCAACTTTTTCCGGAGGTTCAGACAAACATGATTGATAGGTTGGCATTAAGCAATGAAGGTAACAGATAATGTCATGAAACAAAGATATAAAGAATTTATTCAATAAAGTTTTCATTTTGATAAAATCATTTACTTAGGTTGTACATTCCTATTTAAAGTCGTATGGTTAATAGATATGTATATAGAAGGACAGAAAGGATTGTCAATATGAAATGAGGTTGTACAATAATCAAGGGGTTAGAGAAGAATAGAAGGAAGAAATCAATTTATGAATCAGAATTATGAAAAATAATTGTCCGCTTGACAGATATGAAGAAAAATGAAAAATGTAAAGGTCATAATAACAATTGAACAATAATCATGATTGACATACTGAAAACTCAGAATCATTCGAAGAAACGCAAAAGTATTCATTATTATTAGTTTAGAAATTTTAATTTCATGAATTAATTCTTTTCCTTTGAACTAGTATTCATTCTGTTTAGTGTTTCTTTAGAACTACGAATGCTAATATCATTCCGATTCATTCGTTATGTGCAACTTGTTAATTTCATCTTTTACAGTGATAAAGTAATGTGTGATAATTTGAGTTAGGCAAGTTAAGTACGTCGTAGAGGAAGCAACTTCAGGGTTATGACAAGCCTGCAGTTACTTCCTTGGTATGATGATGATTCGTTTGAGATAGGAACACTTGTTCCTTTATATCATATATCACGCAAGTCAAATCTCTTAGAAAACAATGACTAAAATGTCGCTCAAGAACAAGTTCATAAAGTGCGTAGTTGATTTCGGATATGTCACTGAAAAATCTTGAATTAAGCATTGCCAGGAGAAAAGTTGTAACTTATTAACTTCAATTTCCCATAATGGATGTTTGAATTTGGTAAAACGCATAGTTTGGAACCTGATAAAAATCCACATGAACAGATACTGAACTATGAATTCAAACTGTTGTTGGCTATCTGGACTCAGTAGTTAACAGGAAATCGCGATGGTGTTTGATTGAGTTCGACACCCGAAGTGAACATCAATTCAGGGACGCAGATACATCCAGATGAAAAGCCCAAAATAAGACGAAACACGCGTCCTGGATCTTATTGCTAACCACCATCCATCTTTGTTTATGTTGCTTTGAAGGTTTATCATAATCCAGCCTAACTCGATTTGAACTCATCACATGAATATGTGAAGCGGAAAATGTGAATTATATATATATATATATATATATATATATATATATATATATATATATATATATATATATATATATATATATATCAATGAATTACGTCTTTGCCAGTTTAAAGTCACAGAGAAAAACCAGATGACTGTACACAGAACAGTATGAATCACAAGATCATTACTTACCTTTGAAACGAGATCAATCAAATCAAGCAGATGCTTGATTCCAATACATAAACTGAAGCAAAAAACAAAACATAATTGAGTTCAAATATCAAGGAATAACAAGCAATCGCATTTGCTGAATATTCAGAAATATAGGTTTAAATTTAAATTAATTATGATCTGATATCAACCTGGAAATCAAAAAAAGTGTTGCATAGTTGTATCAACCTAATTTTTGACTTAGTAATCGGTGGTATATAGTATTCATGAAGAATTGAACTGGCGACAAGTTGAATGCTATTATGTTAATATATTGATGAACACTTTCAACTTTAATTAAAAGATTTTTGTAGAATTCGGTTTAATTTGTAGCTTGTATTATTCACAGATTGATTTTAATTGGAGCACGATTGAAAACCATGTAACACTGAACAACTATTTCATCCTAGTATAGAAATTTTAAGCTATGAGATCATCCACAGATCCACAAGGGGATGATCTGAAGACACTCAGGGCTTGTTATAAACACTTAACACTTAGAATTATTGGGTTAGAGCTAACTACCAAAGTTTAATTAAAGGATTTTTGTGGAGAGCAGCTTACTTACTCCAGAATGTTGAAGAAAGCATCAAACTGATGAGATCTGGTCATAGATGCAGTTTTTCATTAGTTAGAAAAAAAATAATTAAAACCTATTGACATAAACCAAAAGAGAGAGTTCCAGTGATCTAAGAAGTTTCTAACACACGTGTATATCACTTATTTTTTAAAATAAAATATATATGCACAAATATTTGTCGTTAGTATTCAATAGACTGATTGAAATAATAAATGCAATAATAACATCAGAAGGGGTTTTGTGGAAATCGTAGTAATTTTAATAGTTGAGATCATGAGTCAGTTGAAGCTAGACTACTATGGAAAACCTAGAAGCACTGGACGGCCGTTTCGTCCTACAATAGAACGAAAGTAAACATTTGATTTATTATGCAAATATATCTGGCTTCATGTACCTGTCTTTGAGTCATTACATTTATATCAGGAGATTATTGATATTACCTAGCTTTCTGAACCGTTTACTATATGTAGTAGAGTGAAACGTGCGACTTCCAGATGGAAAGTCCGATATTTTGAATACTAACTCACTGATATCGACAGATATAAATAGTATTTATCATCAATAGGAGGTGAAATGTCTGGCGGCAGAAGGTTAAGAAGATCGAAGAAAAGAGAAAATGATTGTTGTGAAAACGAAAGAACAATCAAGTCTGAGACGATTGATTGACATTTTGCAAATGAAGTATTTACTGTATGGTACTCGGATTTTACTAAGACGTTCTTTGATTTTGGATTCGAATACATTTGATTGCCTCCACTTGTGTTCTCGTTCACAACTCAACTTAGATTTTACCATAAATAGTAAGGTGATACCTAAGTTACACACAGTAGTATATATATATATATATAATAATTACTATTATTATGGACCGATGATTGTTCATGTCAGTTTTATCTCCAGATTGGTAACGTGGTATGATATTTGCGGTTTCTCAACAGTAAGCTTAAGTACCTTCTTCCAGAAATTAAACAGCTTTAGAAGAAGAAGTGGAATATCTGGACCACCATGTTTGTAGAGGAAGGATGAAATCGCGTCTAGTTCATGACCGCTTGAAACCTTAAGGGAGTTTATAGCCTTACTAATTTTTAGGCATGTGATGGTGAGAGATTTTACTGAGTTACTAGTCACATACATGACTTTTGAAATAAAGTCATTTAAGAATTCTTTATCGTTCACGAGAATGACAAAAAACCACTGCTATGGTTTGAGTCGTAATAAAAGTGTCATTATGAAGGATGCATGGTATATCAATATTTTGAGTTGCTCCAACGCGTTTATTGAAAAGGAGAATTAAGTTTTGCTAGTAATAAATGCTAACAGCTATTCACTAATAACTTTTAACCTGTGCTTCTCTTTAATTTGAATGAAAATTATTATCATTTGTGCAACTGCCGTGAAATCGTTTGACTTAACGTTTCTGTTGGCATCTCAATTTATTGCGATATTTAGCTGGTATAAATAATTTTTTAGGTTTACTAAACCTGTACGTTTTAAATGCTGCGCAGGGATCTAAACAAGAGTTAACAATAAGATAGAATGTGTTAATAGCATCCACAAGACAATTACATGAGAAGAAGGTATCTTAGTTTGAGAACTGATGTGATAGAGTTTACATAAATGTAAATATATCTTGATATCAGTAAAAGAGGAAAGAATAAGTCACATGACTATATCGCGAAAACAAAATGACACACAAAGTGTAGCACTTACCGACGACCCGATAAAGATTTTTCAATAATCTCTTGTTCTTTCGATGTAAAACGTCCATCCTCTTCTAACGCAGCAATTATATGTTCAGATCTTGATAGCATAGCAACATGGACGTGCCATGAAAAAGCTTGCGTAAGATTTTGGTCTGTTAACGCTTCACGACAACTGGTTGTAGCCAGTACTAACATATGACGACCCTGAAAAAAGCAATGCGAACGCACTTTTCAAGGGAATAAAAACGAAAATATGTAAAACATAAAACACAAAAACAAACAACTGATCTGTTAATTAAAAAGACCAACACCACCTACTAAAAATGATACTACATAAATGTAAGTATGGGTATATAGAAAAAAACTAGGTAAAAGTAACTAATTAATTAAATAACTAACCGCTTTCAATGGTTGAGAAACCAAATCCCGTATTGCTTGAACAATGAAATTGGAAAATCTTGGTCCAACTGGATTGTATTCAATTAAACCTTCAATATTATCAACAATCACAACACTTAATGGTGATTTGGCACCATCGTCAAAAATCTACATTTTGTAGTGGGGTAGGAAAAAAAGAGTATAATGAAGTAAGCAAATATTAGAATACACTTGTTAACTGTTATCCCAATAATCTAATCCAAGAAGCAAGTAATTGTTTCTAAGTTCAATTCTCCTGCATCTAGAAGTTTGGCAAAATAATGTCATTATGTACAAAACAGAATGATAAAAGTAACGACTGGTATTTTCCTAATTTAATGATAAGAAGGACTTCAAGACAACATGACGAATAGTAATGGCAATAGTACCATGATATAGCTATCAATAGCAGTTACAAGAAATAATGAGAATGGCATAATAAGAACAAAGTAATTTGCAATATACGATCGAGATCATGAACCTATCTAGGTCAAACAACCTTTCTAAACTAGGATGTACTGGACAGCTATTTCGTTTTAGAATTTTAATACCAAGCAGTGCACATTCATAGTTTTTAGATGATATCTGATAGTTTCGCCCTCTCAAAGAAAGATCTATGTAGTTCAAATACAAAACGTGACCTTGTGACAAACAGATAAACGAAAGCACTACAAATAATTACTACCAACGCTGTTTACTTACCTTTTTCATTGCAGCGCACTTAGCCATTTCAGTGAATCCAATCATTTTATGTGACGTAACAATTTTGACGAATGGGAATCCAGACAGTCGTGCAATCTCAACAGCTAACGCTGTTTTACCAGCTTTCGGTGGACCTTCTAATAACAAAGTTAACGGTCTGTACGTTTCAACATCTGGTTCTTTTACTGCAGACACAGCTAGTCGACCCATATCTAATGCATGTGATACAGACTCACCCCACATCATAATACCACGAGGAGCATAACAGCTGAGTTCTTCTTCAGAAGCACCAAAAGCCTGAAATAACATTTTCCGAAAAACTTCATATAAGAAAATAGTCATAACAACACAAAAGATTCATACAAAATAAATGTAAGAGTTAAATAATATAAACGTAAAAAACACCGAACAACATGCATCAAAGTAGGTAAAATTAATTACCAAGTTTGAAAGGTGTAGAAACTGTACAATTGATTGAAAAAAGAATCACAAAGTCATCAGAACGACATAACACTTATGGAATAACTGAAAGGTTCACTTCTACACGAAGTAGACGTTGAGGAGGTTGTCCTGGATAATAATTATAGCTCTACGATCAAACCGTATATCTTAGAAATTACAACCCTGTCCATCTCTACTTGAGCTGAATATTCTCATCATGATTTCAGTTGAGAAGCCATGACAAATCCATACTGAAAAGAGTATACAAACTCACCGGTTTAACATCATGTTCCAATGCGTATAGAAAATCAGAACGTTTTATTAACAATCGGTCAAACGCATCAGGATCCAATTGAGTTTTCCCAGATGGCTACAAAAAAGGAGAAAAAACGAAAAACCAAACAAAAGTAGATATCATTATGTTAGTTATCACAGTAGATTCACTAAATACAACCAAACTACGATGATATTGTGTGTTAAACTGCAAACTACTATTAAGTCACATTCTCAAATTTGACAAAGTTTACAAGAATAAAGCTATGAAATTCAATAAATAGACAGATCTATCACAGAGAATTATCCCTATTCAATTTACCCCTTACGATATATCAATTATTGGTTAAGGTCTGTTAATAAGGGGTATAATTCAGAAAGAATAATCAAAATCATCGAAAGTGTTATGAAACAACTATACTCGAAAAGAATGGAATTTCTAAACATGTAAATGATATAAAACAATGGGCAGATAAACTATGTGTGGTGGTCGGTGTTCGATATATTCCTTAAACTCCGTATACAATTCGTCTCAGTAACCGTCTCTAAATAACGCTGCAACGGTATATGTTATATCTTGAAGGTTGATTACTTGATATAACGCGTATAACTGAACACAAGAACGCCAAAACCCTTCCAAGTCGCAAGGAGAAGACAGAAGACTAGTGAAAGGAATGTTATTCCAAACAGTGTCAATTATGGGTACAAATTGTCAGGTATTTATTGTTTTTAGTAAGAACGAAAATCATCATTATAGTCCTCCAATCCGCATACAGGGGGTTATTAGCCTTGTCCAATCGGGAAGCTACACGTAGGAATTCTAGAATATTCTTCCGAAAGGTGATTGGATGGAATATCTTCGGCTCCTTCAGAGCCTCTTATAGCTTCCTCGAGTTTACCCGTGGTCCGTCGTCACACCTCCCTCCTTTAAAGTCCGTTGTGTAAGACTTCTTTCTCGGGCCCACCTGGAACGTTTTGGCCGCATTCCTCTTACGGTCCATCCCTCTCGAGGGTTGTACAACTTTTCCCTTGCGTCATTTGTCTCCTCTATGTTTGCGCTCATGATGGCTTTTCTGAGGTGAGTCCACAAGCAATTGAAATGGGAATCGGCTTTCTGAGACCACTGTACTGCAGTCTCTTTTCATTTGATTTATGTGTCTTATGCATTTTCCGACACCTTTCCGGACTAGGTACAGTACATTTCCGATTCGACGTTCTATGACACCTAATTCCCACTTCCTATTACCTTGATACGATTTAACCATCGAGGACAACCGAGTTCTAGTTTGATCAAATTTCATGGAGCCATGGCCATGAGACTATGAAGTGTGTGTGTTTCACGGAAATCTTAATCATTATTAATAATGATATCTTAAAACATTGTCGATTAGTATGTTTAGTTTGGTAATGAAACTTTTTAAAAAATGTTGACTTAAGAAGGAAAACTTTGTTTAGGTACTTAAATCCCATGTTTGGTGTATTTTTGTTACTATTCGACCCAAATATTCAATCTATGCACATATATACTTGTTTTATTACATACAGTAATATCTTTTCTCATTACCTAAAATAGAATCTACATAAATTTATCATTTGTAGTGCGTCATGGAACTGTTTTATTTTACATATACAATAAAGTGAGCTATAATTCACTTAGAGGTTTAAGAATACCAGAGTTTTAAATGACATATCGATGGTATGACAAATACAGTGGCAGGGTCAGTCGATCGATTTGCTAATGATATAGACAAAAGCTTTGGAATTTTAGATCGAAGCGGTTCGGAGAACATGAAAAAATCTCTAGAAGCATAGCATTTAGATCAGTCCGCGATAATTAGGTGTATCGATATAGACACTATTTATCAATAGGGAAAAGATCAGTCACTTACGTGCCTAGAGGTCGATCGAACAAAACAGTCAACAAGAATAATGGCAACTGGCGACGGCAACGATTCTGATAATTCTTACTACCGACACGCTTAAACGGCCTTCCTAGCTGATCGCCATATCTGCAGCCACTACATGTCAATTGAGAGATAAGAGAAGGTACGCGTTGCGAGCGAAAACGTTTCTCCAAGGTTAGTTTATGTACAAAAAACAATCGGTATTTACAGACGTACACAAGACCTCGAGTTTCTAGAAATCTCCGGAACCATACTAGTTAGTTATAGCAGCAGTATAGGCAAATATCCAATCAAGACCGTGGTACATGATATTGCAATGTCTAGGTGTTTCTGCGAAGATAAAATTCAGTGCTGATTGGAAAACGTTTCCTGGAATCTTTGAGCCTTTAATGACTTTGACGAGGGATATTTTTGGACTCCCATAACACATTCACGGGTCATCAGAACAGTCTAACTTAGAGCCTGTGGCATATTTGAAAAAAACACTTCTACATGAAATTAGCGCTGATGATCCTGTCCAGAACTAAAAGAAAGCTTCGTCATTATAAACTATTCGGCTCGGATAACAAAATGCAACCGAAAGCAACCATCACTTAGTCCACGAGTCTCCTCTATTATTTCGTTAAAAATAAATAATACATAATATGCTGAACTACTTCATATTAGAAAACTAATAATAAACTTACACTTATTAATTGATACATTGAGGTGAATGCTGCAGCACGACATAAACCTTCAATTTCAGCACCACTGAAATTTTTTGTTTTAGCCGCTAATTCTTTCAAATCAACATCACGTGCCAATTTACCGGCCTGTTGCATTTTCGATGTATGTATATTTAAGATTTGCAATCGACCATCTTCATCTGGTAAAGAGATTTCCATTTGCATCTTAAATCAAAAATAATGTTAAAGGTGAATAGTACAAATTAAATAAATAGTGATAAACTCTCTTATAATAAAAGTAACTCATTGATCAAGTGTTTATTTTTTATGTATTCGACGGTGAACCAAATTAACGATTTAGATGATATTTAAATATCACTGCAATCATGAACCTATCTGTTGGGATGAACCAAAAAATTTCTCGCAAAAGACAAGAAAGGTTCGGGAAACATTAAGAAGCATTTCATTCAATCAGAGTTCACTTGAAGTTTAGCCAGAAACATCAAGCAAGTGAAACGTCACATGTAGAGGTTCTGATTGGCTGATTACTATACTGATACTATGTTTAGTAGCATTCCAGAATTTTCGGGAAAACCCAAGGACTTCTAAAATACTATAAAAACCCTATGTTTTCTGTATCAAAATGAACCTTTGGAGTAAAGTACTTCTCGCATACTTTGCACCTTCTCTCTCGTGTTCAGGTTGCTGTATGGTTCTATCTTGGGGGCTACGGGAATAACTTAGGAACCGAATATAGTGTTCAGCAGTCATGATCTCAATCACAACTTAACAATTCCCACAACCCTATATACTGATAATATTCAATTTGCTTGATTTCGATATGTACTTTTAAACTACAGTTACGTTTGAGCAACTGAAGGCAAAAGATGCTGATGGTATAAATGACTAATTTTGATTTTACATACTCATGCCTTCTTCAAATGGTGCACATGGGCTCCAGTATCCTGCGGGAACAAATGGCGTATGAACCAATCGTTGGTCACCGGCTACCATGGGACTGCATCTCTTTACGATGCTCCACTGCCTTGTGGGTCAGACGTTCAGGTCAAAGGCTCGGGGTGTGGCCCCCTAAGAAAACCACCTTCTTCGGTTTGGGCACCCGAGCAGTATCACAGCCCTCACACAAATCAATTGAGATCTATGTGGCGCATATGTACTTGGTGCCTCTCTGTACCTATACTTATGTGTTAAAATAAAAAATAATAATAATAAACCTTTATAAAAACGTAAGTTGCAATTTATGTTGACAAGACAATCAGTCTTTTCTAAGGTTAAATATAATATTAAAACTTCGAGATTTTTTCGCACAGAGTACTGTTAGTAAAGTGAATACGTGAGTTCGCTTAGATAACCCTCAGGATAAGTAAGAGATCTAAAACACTCGACTGACAAGAATGTACAAAAACTTAAGTTTACTTCAGTAGATTGTTGCTATAAACCAATTAAATTCTCAATAGAGCAAAGACAGTAACTGTGACTAAAAAGAACAAATAATCTTTACTTAAACTAAAAGCAAATAAAAGCCTAGTAATTACCAAATCTAATAATAGATCAAGAGTGATCTTTATGAATAAAACAGCCAGTATAGATATGATCAATATATAATTCGTTGACGATCGCAAGTTTCAGAAACTATCTCTTAAAAATGAGCTCACAGAAAAGACTGATCAACAACTATGATATAACTATCAAAATGGCTTGAAACAAACAATTTCAGTGTCTCAAAACTTATAGGTGACACTCAGATCCACTGCTACTGTGACACCTAGACTCTATAGTCCCCTCATAGTAAATAAAACTAGTTTATCTTTTCAATCAATCTTAGACACGATTCATTCACCTTACTATGTGACTCCAGAATGAATAGCAGAATTTTTATAAGCACTGTGGGCAGAATTCTTAAAGCACAGTGAAAAAGATAACTTTGGATTTGTCGACAGAATAAAAAATCTGGAAATGAGAAATAAATTCGTAACTGATGCGTCATCTTGATTCACGAACGTACCTTTCGGGGAAGCAGTAGATTCCATATACGAAATCGAGGAATGAAAATTGGTATCTCTATTTCTTCTTTGAAAACATGATCCCCACATTCTTAATTAATCTTCAAAAGGAAGTTCAATACACAACATGACGGTATTTTAAAGGGTTACCACTAGGTTCAGTTCTAGCAGATTTCCTTTTGGCAAAATTAGAAAACGGTCGTTTAGACCTATACTAATACCGTCACTATATGAATGACACCTTTACAGTTCTGAAAAACAAGACCCAAGCTCAGAACCTATTAGAAGCGTTTAACAGAGTTCTGCAAGTAATCACTTTCATAAAAGAAAAACTGCGATAGCATCCCCAGTCTCTAGAAGTCTCATTATCGAGAAGACTTAACGGGAAAAAATACTTGTCCTAAACCGATTACACAAAGCCCATAAACATATTTTTAAGTTATGTTCCGTTACAGCATGTATCCAAGAATATTATAATTCAATAGACTTGTGAAGTTCTCAGCCCTTCACCTCTGTTGAGCACAGTAGAAATTGGCAGTATATGGAGTGCTTTAACTAATAATTAGAGAAACTATTATGAATTATATGGTTGTCGAGTTAATAGTTGGCGAACATAACATGTACTATTATTACTGGTTCGATTTGTAGATTCTCCAGTCCTAAAGAATCATTTAGCCTTCTGTGTAGCTTAGATGATCATTAGGAGTTATCCACATATTTTAGCTAGTTGGTTAATGGTCCCGTTTTCTAAAATCTGTGTTTGGAATTCAAGGATCAGTCCCATGAGCGAATTAACAGTATGGTCACATTAAATCATTTGAGTTGCTATAACAATTAAAAAAAACATGAAACATACAAACGACAGTGTAGCTCTATTGACCATGCATTTCTTATACTTATAAGAAGTAGTAACAACGACAATGTTCACAATTTTCGAAAAAAACATACTTCAAAACGTCCAGGTCTTAAAAGTGCTTCATCAATCATATCTCGTCGATTAGTCATTCCAATGACAAGTATATTATTTAACTGATTCACTCCATCCATGTTAGTTAGTAGTTGGTTGACTACAGTGTCATGTACACCAGCACCTCCACCCTGAACGAGAGAAAAAAAATATCACATGTATATATATTCACTTAACAAGCAACCACCATAAGATGATTGATTGATCTTACGGAAAGAAATAAGTAACCTGTAATTTATTGGAAGGCGTTCTGTGCAGATTGGTAGTATTCGTCACCGGTTGCACTGGATTGATTGAAGTTAAAATTGTACCATTCAAGATCGATCTAATATTTGATACAGTTATTTACAAACTGTGAAACAAGGTAGGACAAGAGTATTGCTTAAGATTTCACCTATTGCAATTCAATGCAAGTGAAGATTCAAAGCCAGTCAGAAACAAAATTACGACTAAGTAAATAGGTATTATAATTCAAGTACCCACACATCATTATAACACATCTAGGTACAATGTTTACAAATATAAAAGCGAACAAGTCATTAAGATTTTAAAAAAAGAAACGATAACGAAGGACCGACTGTAAAAAGTTAGAAAATAGTGAATAAAAATTAAAGGATAATAACAAACTAGAAATGTAGAAAAAGGTAGATGAATTTATTTACATCCCAACCACTGATATTAAGTTGTCAAGTAAAATCTCCAATAACAGATTACAAACAGTAAATAATTTTATCAAGTAATACTGTGTCTTGATGTGATGGCTATCGAGTGTTTTCTAATCTCCCTGTGAAACTAGAAATTACAATACAGATGTGTTCTCAAAGTTGATTTTTTTAATTAACTGCTATGTTCAGTATAATCGTTACAATTACAATGGAGAAGTATTATGTATGCTGTTACTAGTAACTAATGAGTCGTTGATTACTCACCGACACTAGAATAAGGTTAAAAACGGGGATAGATGGTACTTCTATAAAATTACTCAGTGGAACGAAGGATAGTTGAGGTAAACTAACGTGTTTCGCTTGATCATAACGTATAATATGGTAACTTGCAATGTTCTTAAACGTAACTCAAAATAGCTTACTATTAATGATATCACAGTAAGAACTTCCCGGTATCGATTGCGCCTTACATTGACGCTGTAATTATTCAAAAAATTATATTTTATAAATGTTTTCTCAATAGCCAATAATCTATTGCTCATCTAAAATGGATGAACTTTTATGTTTATCCAGGTGATACAAATATTCTTTTTCACCCATCACATGTTGACAGCATGAACTCAAATATATTCATCTTTCTAGTTTTTATGTTCAAAGGGTGGACAAGGAAGATCATATACACCGGAAAGTGTAGTATTCTAGTTCAACACCGTGGGCCCCCAAATGCCCTGGTATGGCCGAGAGTGGGGAGAGTCCGCTCTCCCTCTCGAAATGCTCTCACATGGCCATGCGTATATAGCCTCTGCCAGGGAAGTCCTACTCACTGCCTTCTCGTGGCGGGGGTGTTGTTTACGAAAATGAGAGGACGAAAAGCGAATGTCTGGCGCTTTAACCGGACCCCAAACCAATGGTGCACATGGGCTCCAGTATCCTGCGGGAACAAATGGCGTATGAACCAATCGTTGGTCACCGGCTACCATGGGACTGCATCTCTTTACGATGCTCCACTGCCTTGTGGGTCAGACGTTCAGGTCAAAGGCTCGGGGTGTGGCCCCCTAAGAAAACCACCTGCTTCGGTTTGGGCACCCGAGCAGTATCACAGCCCTCACACAAATCTCAATTGATTTGTGTGGCGCATATGTATTTGGTGCCTCCTTGTACCAATATCTATGTGTTAAACTAAAATAAATAATCAACATCGCGGAATGAAAATTACTATGGAGAACGGACAATTGAGTTAAGAGGTATTTATCATCACATCACATACAGAACGATAGCTAAGTAGTAGAAATACCAGAATTCAAACAGCTCATTTAAACTACTCTCTAAATCAGAGTTTAGACAGTCGCGGGTCGGATACTTCAATGGTAATGTATCTGACTTCGAAGTTGAGTGACATGAGGTCGAATACTTTAGGAAACATTGCTTCCTTCAAGATTACAAGTATACCTTCCCAACAAGTGCCAAATAACAACATGAAACCTAGGTTCGATGTCTCTTGTCGGCAACCACCATCCTTACAACTTAACATAATGTCCCCAAATACTCTGGTACGGCGGACAGTGGGGAAGGTCATCTATCCATCCCGAAATGCTCTTACATGACCACGTGCATATAACCACTGCCAGAGAAGTCATACTCAATGCCTTCTCGAAGCATTACTGTTGTTTACGAAATCGAGAGAACAAAAAGAGAATGTCCAGCGCTCTAACCGGGTTGGTGGACACCTTGATTCCAAATCAATGGTGCACCATAGGCTGACTGCAGGATCCTGAGGGAACAAATGGCGTATAAACCAATCGTCGGTCACCGGCTACCATGGGATCGCATCTCCTGACGTTGCCCCACTGCCTTGTAAATCAAACCTTTAGGTCGAAGGCTCCGAGTGTGGCCTCCTAAGAAATCCAACTGCTTCGGTTTGGGAACCTGGTCAGTATCCCAGCCCTCACACAAATCGAATAATTTGTGTGGCGCACATCTATTTGGTGCCTCCTCGTACCAATGTTTATGTGTTTAAATAAATGGAAAATAACGCGATGTTAAGTCACTTGGACTAGTGGCTACGTTACAACTTGATCAGCACTAAGAAGGACTTGACATAAATGACATTGGTCACTACCCAGTGACCGATGAATTGTAAATGTAACTGGCGCTCATGAATAGAAAGGTGTTTTGAACCAGACTGTACAGAAATCTGCATTTTGTTAAACAAGTTTGCAATCCCTATTATGCCCATAAATGATGATAACATATGTAAAAATTTTAAAATTGTTTTATTGTATTATAAATCAAAAATACAATAATGATAAATGCTTACTGTAGATCCACGTGATTTACAAATAGCATCAATTTCATCAAATATAATAATATGCAATGCAGATTTTGCACCCATGCGTTTTTCTTCTTCTTCAGCATCAGCGAATAATTTACGGATATTCGCTTCAGATTCACCGACATATTTGTCTAATATACTTGGACCATTGACAATTTTAGGTTCACGTGCATTAAGCATTTTACCGATTTGTCGTGCCATTAATGTTTTACCAGTACCAGGTGGACCGTATAGCAGAATACCACGAACATGTTTTAAACCTGAGCAAGAAAAATATTTAAAATCATTGAAGTCATTTGTTAAAAAGAAAATCAACGGCAAATGTACCTTACAGGTTAAAAATAAACAAGAAAACTTTGATGATCAAACAATCGATTTGATAAGTATATTAGAATGATCTGAAGTGACTGAATCGATCATTTTGTTTACGAAATTGATTGTTAAATTTCAATCAAATGAACTTTGAAGGATAAACTGACTGTCGATTTTCTTTTCTTGAGTATCCGACGCTAGGTAGTGAGACATTGAGTATAAGCATATTCACTATTTAACATTTATGTTAGGAGCATGTAGCCAATAGCCAATAAGCATAACATTTCAGATCTGTAGACAAACCTTTATCTCGAAAAACTTGTTTTCAGTAAATCGGTTTTTTGTACTAATTATACATTTTTATGTCATTTTGCGTATCCACCTAATTATGCTTTTCTGCTTCAATGAAACAGCTTTGTCTGAAGTTCGTTCGGATGAACAACGAGACGATCACCTTGTCTTAGAGTTCGGTTTTTCTCTGCAGACAGCACACACACTATTAGAAGGGTCAAAACTATCAGGACAAGAGAAATACTTTTTTACATGAAAGTGCAAAAAAAGTTCTTTTGTAGACAGATAGATATTACCTAAGAATGAATCAAAACGAGAGAACTTGAATCGCTCTTAAAGACTTATGTGCAAACAGATTTTCCCTGAGTAGAAAGTACTACTCAAGAAAATCTCAACCCAGTATGTACGACTTGATGCAAGCGAGAACAATAACGAATAAATGTATAGTTGTAGGACCAGGGAAAATAGATAGTACATGAAGAAGTATCATGCCTTCATAAATCTCTTTTACAGGAGTAGCTGGTCAGATACATTTGAATTTTAACCAAACGATACTCACCACTGATTACTTAGTTAAATTCCAGTATGAAGTCCCTTTCCATACAGTCACACAGTCAAATGTTGCAACCAAAAACAATGATTTCTAAATTTAATGTTTGAATCTTAACTTTTTGACTCAGTCAGTTTGTAATTACAGTACAGTACAACTATAACTTAATGTTAACAATCATTACTATCTCAGTATAGTTTTACTTAATGGAACATGATTTACTGAACTGAAACTTTGGATAAAAATAGTCGTTACTGGTCGTATAATTACTTCGAAACCATATAAAAACACCATTCAAACCATTCTAGTAGGAAAAAAATGCATTGTTTATGAAATGATTATCATTAATTTTTCTTTTCTAATGGACCTATTTTGATGTATAGTTAAAAGATATTATTGGTAAATGAAGGTAGATTCAAATTTAATAAAATACAAGTTAGTAAAGAATAAAGTAACCAGTAACCTGGAAAAAATCAGTGGACTGTAAACATTATTAATTAAATATAGATTACAATGAAAAACATATTTAAAGTATCTTTGTAATCAAGGACTGAATTTGTACCAGTCTTTCAGAACATAAGTGAGAAGAAAGTTAAGAGTGATCAAACCAAGACATAGCATCTGATTATGAAGTCAATGATTGTTGGTCAAAAACCACATTGGTAAGTGCGACCAGTATGATAACGGTTATTAATAGTTGAGGAAACTGAGTGATAGAGATCAGTATCGGTCACAGTGAAGTAGATGTATTGATACTTAATTCCCTTTTAGCTCATTATTTCTAATATTACTTCAAGCATACCTTTTTATTTCATCCTTTTAAACCAAATCTTTTTTCACTATTATTGTTACTATAATTAGTTTGATTTATTCGTGGTCATATGAGAACATTTTAAAAGGGAAGGCGGACTCCTCCACTCTCGATCATACCGCGGCATTCGAGGACTGCAACCCAAATTAACCACCTTCAAGCTAGCTTCAAGGATAAGTCGATATAAATGTTAAAAATATTCAAAAACACGATTGGAATTCAAAGGTATTGACATCCTATTTTTCCAAACGATAAACTTGAACACTTCAAATAGAAGACGAAGGGGAGTATTAAGAACATTTTAGCTTGCAAATCGATGTCCCTTAATTCAATGATACTGATATTCACAACTATAATCAACAGAATTTATCATTTTAAAGCGCAGATGTTACTAAAGTCATGTGTACTATATGAGAAAGAAAATATTAGTTAGCGTAACAATTCCAAAAATCAATTAATTGTGTACAAAGAATTATACAAACCTAATTGTTTCGCAACTGCCGGCGGAAACATTCGTGATGCAAATGTTCGTCGGAATATAGCTGAAAATTCCTTATCCAATCCACCGATACCCATCTGATTAAAATCCCAATTTGGATTGATGATACTATGATAGCCACCACCCCCTTCAATAGAACTAGCTTCATCGTCATCCAATGCAGCTTTACCAATTAATAATAATTGAGAATCTGATTGAGGCGTCCAACGAATTACTGTATTCCCAGTTAGCATGCCAATCTGTTGATGGTAGTAATAAGAATAATGTGGACAATAGGATGATCAACCCGTTAAAGAAATATCGATAAAAAGAGATCATAAGAAACACTAGAATACCGCATATGAATTACACTTAGAATAAACATTAGACAGGGAATGAACCCTCTGTCAATCAGATTTTAATGTTATAGGAAGAGAATCAACAGTCTTTTCCAGTTATCGCATTTATTACCTGATAAAATATGGTATAAAAATAGTGTATGAGCTCAATAACTCAGCTGAGAAGTAAGGAGTTATTATAACACTTACTGAGTATAGCCTAAGTGTGTCTTCCACTTTTATAGATCAAGTTTCACAGCCATATTGCGAACTGCTGAGCAGTATACTCGCCCTTTAGTTGGAAAACGAACATCTTGTCTACAGCGCAAGTGACTCAGGAAGGTAAATGTCAACCCATCCTCCTAAATTCCTTACCGAGAACTCGTCAAACACCAAGGAACCAGAGCTAATAAGGATTCTGAGATAAATTAGGTACGTACCTCGCTTGGGAACAAACCATTTCCAGCCTTGATAAGTTTTGCTAATTGAATGCTATATTCGGTTCCTAAGTTATTCCCGTAACCCCCAAGATAGAACTACACGGCGACTTGAACACGAGAGAGAAGGTGCAAAGTATGCGAGAAGCAACTTACCCCAAAGGTTCATTTTGATACAGAAAACATAGGGTTTTTATAGTATTTTAGAAGTCCTTGGGTTTTCCCGAAAATTCTGGAATGCTACTAAACATAGTATCAGTATAGTAATCAGCCAATCAGAACCTCTACATGTGACGTTTCACTTGCTTGATGTTTCTGGCTAAACTTCTAGTGAACGCTGATTGGACAAAATGCTTCTTAATGTTTCCTGAGCCTTTCTTGTCTTTTGCGCGAAGTTTTCTGGATCTTCCCAACAATCCTATGTAGTGAATTTCATTCATGTAATTTATGAAGTACACTAGGAAATAAAAGACAGTTTAATGTTCGAATGACCTTAAAAGTCATTGACGAAATTTAATCACTACCCCATTAAGTGTTATATTCTAAAATTATTTCTGGAAAAAAGAAGTCCCATTAAAATATTACACAAAAAAGCAGTGTGCTAGTAGACTTACTTTACTATTGTCAACATCTCCACCATCCATTGATAAAGCTTCAAAATAAACACGATAACTTAATGTAAACATAATTTAAATAAGAGTTATATAAAGAAGTTATCACTTCATAACAATTAGTTTGATCTTGAGACAATTTTTATAGACTAAACAAAAAGACAAAACAATTAGCGATAGATTTAATTCGTTTCTATGATATATTTCTGATTATCTTTCAACTGATCATAGTCAGCGAAGAAAATCGTGATCAATCAATGTAAATATCTTGACCCTACAGGGGACAATAATGTCTCGCATAGCTCAGTGGTTACGTATCTCAGACTGTGAAGCTGGTTAACACAGGTCCAGATTCCACAAGAACTACCAGTATTTCTGAAATTCAAAGTAGACCTAGCTGACGAGCCCTAATTAGGACGAAACTTAGGTCAAGCACGGTTTCCTATCACCGACTATTTCCAACTAACTAACAAAAAATAAACTACACAAAAACATTTAACCATTTAATCTGAGTTTAGTGTATTATATAAACTGATCATCACTAATAAGGCAGTTAGAAAATAGGACGTTGATTACCACTCTAGTGATTAATTAATGAACTTTTAATGCTTCTTTAGTTAATTTCATTATTTCTCTTATTCAATTTTTTTCTCATTTTACTACAGAACAAATTGTATTAACCTACTCAAATATTGTATGAGATTTTATGTTATTCTGTTTATCCTAATGATAAGCGCTAGTTGGTTGACATTTTCTATCGTTAGTTAGTGCACATACAATGAAATAAAAAATACGGACGCTTATATTAGAGGTTGCACAGTTAGTCAATAAGTCAGTCGCAACGTAGAACCTAGTACGTGTGTATATAGGTTCAAGTTGTCATACCTTATTAGCATAGAGATGTTGTCAAACCAAATCTTAGAATAGTAAACATAGTAACGGTATCAATGGTGATTGAAAAGATTAGGCATCGAAGATGCGACTCGAAAAAATAGTGAAATAAAAAATGAGGAATTCAGAAGCTTAGAATTTGGAGAAAGATAAAGAATGGATGTAACTACGCCAAGATTTTGAGCCATTTCATTCAAAGTCGCTGATCATTGGTTACGGTAATCAGGAGGACTCCAATTAGGTAAGGCACTTTAAAAGTGATAAAAAATTGAAAGATGGAATGAAACCTTTTACAAAACAAACGTTCACCTGTGACTGTACAAATCTTTAGCGAAAACTAGACGTTAGAACTACTTCAGCTTGTATGAAATGATCAGTTACAAGGTAGTATTCACACATTACAAAGTCTAAGAGACCGATCATAAAAGTTTTACTTTAAAACAAACATTACAGGAGTTGTGTGTGTTAATACTTACTTGACAATTTCTTAACCTCAACAAGGAATGTCATTTTGTTAAACCGATAAAGGATATGCTGACCAACGGTCAATGGTGTATCTGCGAATTGCATGCTGAATTCTAAAGCCATTCGATCTGAATCCAATGGCTCATTGATCGACCTAGGAGATTTAAAACGAAAATTGTTGAAATGTCAAAAAAATAGAGAGAGAGAGAGAGAGAAATGACTATTACATCATGAATAATACATACAATATTGAGACAACGGACTAAACATCATGAGCCAACTTTTCTCCATTTATAAATGCAAGTAAACAGACAAAAATAATTTGTACGAAGCAAGTTCTAAACAACTTTATGGTGCGTTAGATCGATAATGATACCACTTGGTTACCTAAACTAAAATGAGCAAGAACTAAGAATTTGTTGAACAGGAGTTAGGCAATGTATTTCCAAGAAAACGTACAGACACGCAGTATCTTGTAAATTACAGTGTGTATCCCTTATGTATCGAGTGAGTTGATAAGTTTTGAAAGCCTAACCAATAGCCTTCAAATCTAATGGGTCAAAATACAACATACTAAAAACGATTCGGCCTTAAACGTACCATTTTTCCTTAGGATAATTATTTAGGATCGATGATAAAAATTGAAAGTAGTTTGATTATTAAGACCAACTCTACATTAATATACTCTACGAGTTTTTCCCAAAGCATGTGGTCGTATAATTGAGTGATACCATAAGGTTCCAACCAAGATATAGAAGTTAGTAAATATGAAGTGAAATTCCAGTGATATTCACCTGTATCTTTATCACAGACACACCGTGACAACTCTCCAATAAAGTTGCAGTTTGTATTGATCCTTGAAAAATGAAGAGGTGGTTTGGTGGCTAAAGCACTCACGTTTTAACTAGTAGGATATGAATTCAAACGTTGATCCATGTTTTGGCCAGCCGGGTGTAATATACTACCAGCACTGATGCAACTAAAAATTCCGTAGTTAAAATAGAATATAACAACCTTCATCTGACCGAATAATTTTACAGTATTTGGACGCCGAGTTGATGTGAGACATTAAGGAGGAAGAATGTGTTTGTAAAATCTCAGCGAATGAATTTGAAGTAAATCCAACGTTTCGCCTGGCAATCTTGTCCACGTTTTTTCAAGGAAATATAATCAAACGTCAAACTTATCGAATATAAATAAGTACATTGTTTTCTGGTTAACTGTATACTTAATATGTCATCCAATCAACGTTAATGTTTAAAGTAAGTATTTGCTTTAGTGTGTAAGAGACGTTTTATTTATTTATTTTAACACATAAGTATAGGTGCAGGGAGGCACCAAGTACATATGCGCCACACGAATCTCAATTGATTTGTGTGAAGGCTGTGATACTGCCCGGGTGCCCAAACCGAAGAAGGTGGTTTTCTTAGGGGGCCACACCCACAGCCTTCGACCTGAACGTCTGATCCACAAGGCAGTGGAGCATTGTAAGGAGATGTAGTCCCATGGTAGCCGGTGACCGACGATTGGTTCATACGCCATTTGTTCCCGCAGGATACTGGAGCCCATGTGCCTCATTGGTTTGGGATCCGGTTAAAGCGCCGGACATTCGCTTTTCGTCCTCTCATTTTCGTAAACAACACCCCCGCCACGAGAAGGCAGTGAGTAGGACTTCCCTGGCAGAGGCTATATACGCATGGCCATGTGAGAGCATTTCGAGAGGGAGAGCGGACTCTCCCCACTCTCGGCCGTACCAGGGCATTTGGGGTGTGAAACGAAAAGTGTGCTAAGATAACAGATTGTGTGTATTCGTAAGTGGTGTGAGAAGAAATTTCATTTATTATATATTGCTTCTAATTGGTGAATCTTTAAGAAAACATACAATTTTTGTATATGATATGAATCAAATATATAACAGCATGCATAAAATGCTAACCTCCATCCAACATGACTTATAATGTTTGTGACTTAAGGCAATATGCACATATGCCAATAAGAGACTGATCAATTACAGGACTAAACAACAATTGGAAGATACAAGCAAACAATACCAAATGAATTTATACTTTAAACATTGTTAACGTTGATTGGATGACATATTTAGTATACAGTTAACCAGAGAACAATGTACTTATTTATATTCGATAAGTTTGATTATATTCCCTTGAAAAAAACGTGGACAAGATTGCCAGGAGAAAAGTTGGATTTACTTCAAATTCATTCGCTGAGATTGTACAAGTACATTCTTCCTCCTTAAGTTAAAATAGAAGTATATAAACGTATATACTTGGCAAATACGTTACAACATTAAACTATTTCTCAGGACTCATCAAATGAGAGTAAATAATTTTTTCTACCCCTTCTGGTATGACCCTTTATAACTGCACCCATGATGCAAACCGTTAATATTTAAGACCTACCCGTCGTGAAATTCACTATTTTTTTTCATTTATAACATTGATTAATTGAACCAGAAAGTTTACATCCATACCTTAATATTTAGTCCGATGTAATACAATAATTGTGGGTTTATAACCGCAGAACCTGACGAATTTATCGAAAACCATTCTTTGTTGTAATTTTATTTTCAAATATTCTATAGGGAATTTTTAGTTACCAAAATATAAAAAGCACCCATTTGTAGTGAAGGCTTTCAATGAGTGAGTGCCCGAAAAATTGTTACGCATTTGAAAACTTACGCTAACATCTAGTTTCAATTATTGGAATGTCTTAATCTTACGCTTGCGTTATTACTGATTGTAGAAAATGCAAGAATATTTCATGTATTTACTAAGTTCTCAGTCCACTTTTTCCTTTTCAAATTCTTTGACACACTAATCTTCCCATTATCTCAGTACGTAAGGTACCTCCAGGCTAGATGGAAAGCTGAACGTTACACATAATCTAAAACTCATAGAGAAGGCAACGTTTAATTTCATGTATTACATTTCTATGTATAAACAATCAAGTTGACAAATTCAAACATTTACACCAGGATTTTAACAGAATAGGTTTCTTTTAAAATCAAACCCTATTTAACTAATACTCACATTTTTTTATTATTAAAATCCACAGCCAAAACTGCAGAACCTAGACATTCACGAGCCAAATTGAATGTGTATGGTTGAACATCTAAAGGTTCATCTACTGAAATATTGCCCCATTTACGCTATGAATAATTTGAGAATAATGATAACAACAAAATTACTTATACAGAATATACAATCAAATAGTTTTACAAAACAAATTACAAGTTAACAGTTGTAGTTTGATTATGTAATGATAAAGGCATCAGGTCTAAACTTCAAAAATACATTTCACTAGGAATTACAAATAGTTAATACGTTTATGAGCATTGGTTCTCATAAATTTGTGTTTAAAAAAAAATTCATATACACATCAGCTGATATCCATCACTCTATCGTCCGAATCCATGTACATGGTTAATTTCGTACAGGAAACTAGATGATGTACCATTTTAAAAGAAAATAAATTAGGTAAGAAATATATCTATCTACGCTAATAGAAAAAAAGACATAATGACTGCCATTAAATGATCCGGTTAATTATTTATCCAAGAGCCTTAAGAATAACAAAATTCCCCTGTGTAGTTG